CTTTGGCTTCGAGATCCCAAACTACCCCCTACTCAGGATAATATACTAATTCTGAGATTTACAAGGGTACCCTTCGGCTTGAACGCCTCCCCGTTTCTCCTCGCGGCGACCACACATTATCACCTGGACCAGTACAAGAACCTTGCCATATTGACGCAAGAAATAAAGGAGAATCTGTACGTCGACAATTTGATAGTCACGTTGGATACAAGGGAAGAAGCATCAGACTGCTATCGGAAAATCAAGCAAATATTTGAAGAACTTAGTATGAACATCCGCGAATTCGTATGTAACGACAAACAAGTAAGCGAAAAGATTACAGGAACGGACAGATCATCAGATCCCAAAGGTGTTAGGAATTCAGTGGAATTCTCTGACCGATCAGCTCATAGTTTCCTGCAGAATTACCACCCCCACAGTGATAACCAAACGTACAGTCACAAGTGCAATAGCCTCCATCTACGACCCTATGGGATGGATGTTACCTTTAATGCACAAGTCAAAAGTATTCCTTCAATCACTGTGGAAGGACAAGTTGGACTGGGACACAGCCATAACTGGTGTTCGCTCCGACGAATGGCAACAGATATGCCAGGAGATGCAAGGTTTCAGCAAAGAAGTACCCAGATTCCTGGCCAGAAAACATACAGAAGTGGACATAGCAGCATTCGCAGATGCAAGCACTGAAGCTATAGCCACCTGTATATATCTAAAAACAAAAAACTCCACTCATCTCTTGCTGGCAAAAGGAAAACTTCCGTCACTCAAGTACCAAGTTACGATACCAAAGTCGGAATTGAACGCTATCACTCTAGCAATGAGAGTAATCAACTCGGCCGTGACCCAACTACACTCAATCGTGGCTATCCGAAACGTTTATCTCTTCACCGACTCGGAAATCGTTTGCAACTGGATAAAGGGAAAAACACATAGAGAAGCTGGAATAATGGTGGTCAATCGACTCAAGGAGATAGTCGAGATAAACGACCATTTGACAAGTAAAGGTATAGAAATTCATTTTGGCTATGTCCCCACTGATCAAAATCCAGCGGATTGTGGAACAAGAGGACTGCATAAAGAGCAACTGAAGGAACATTACTGGTGGACCGGGCCATCATTCATAAAAGGCTCACCAAAAGACTGGATCGCAGACTACAAGTTATTCCAGATAAACAAGGAACAAAACGAAGATACATGTCAGAAAACTGACTCAGTACTCATTAACCAAGCTGAAACAAGAGTCATACAAGGCACGCAAAATGACGATATTCTCGAGTGCCTAAAGGGTCGTCCATATATTGTGATCAAGAGAATCACAGCTACAGCTTTGCGATTTTTGAAGGTCATGTTGTGGAGAAGGAATCAAAGACTTGGAAGTAATCTTCAATTTTCTCCATTGCTCAGCAAGTACACTATACATCCTGGCGAAGAGCTCCATGGTGAAGAAATCACGGTAGCGGAGATAGTTATCATACGAGTCCACCAGCGGACATTTTGTACTCCGACGGTATTGAAATCAGTACCTCAGCTGAACATAAAACAAGATGAGGAAGGCCTTCTAAGATGCTACGGACGAATGGGGAGAAGCTGTTTAGACGATACGGCGAAAACCCCTTACATCATCCTGCAGAACTCTTGGCTCTCTGAGGCTATAATTCGTGAAAAACACTACCAGGGGCATCCCGGCATAGGCCACACAATTGCGTTGGTACGACACAAATTTTGGATACCTAAGCTACGTGCACAAGTGACTCGCCTCATCCGACGTTGTGTGGAATGCCAACGTTATAATGATCGCCCGTACAAGTATCCGAATCAGACTGATCTGCCACAAGTCAGAGTACAACAATCAAGCCCTTTCCAACATGTTGGACTGGATTACTTTGGTCCTCTAACGGTGAAAGCCCAGGAAAACATCACAAGTAAATGCTACGGGGCTATCATCACCTGCATGGTAACCAGACTTATTCATTTGGATGTTGTATCCGAACTCTCCACTACTGCATTCCTGAACATGCTGCGCAGATTCTTTGGAAGAAGAGGAGTTCCAAAAACCATCACAAGTGACAACGCTCCCACATTTCTTTTGGGAGAGGAAATTTTGGCAGACTGTATCAAAAATCTGCAAAACGACGCCACAATTTCAAGAGAAATGAGCAATCGCGAAATTGAATGGAAACACATTACACCCTTCGCACCGTGGCAAGGAGGATTTTACGAAAGACTGATAAAAACAGTCAAGCAATCTCTCTACAAGACTCTGAAAAACTCGACTCCCACATTTGAAGAGATGTCAACAACGCTGGTCGAGATCGAAGCCTTACTGAACACAAGGCCGCTGGTGTACATGAGTTCAGACTCGTGCAACGAGACGATCATAAGGCCCATCGACTTCGTACAAAATAAGATTATACTGGACTACCCATTTGACATGGTCAATCTTCACGACGAGGATCCACCTTATCTCTCATCCGAAGAACAACTTGCCCTTCGCACAAAATCGCAGACAATCCAAGCGCTAGAAAGTTCCTACAGGTCCACAAACAAGTTTTGGAACCTTTGGCAGACACAGTATTTGACGGCACTTCGAGAAAAACACAAGTTACAAGTTGGTAATAACAAGTCCATTTCGCGTCCGCGAAAAGATGACTGCGTCTTAATCACAGACCCCGTACAACCAAGGCATTCCTGGAGAATCGGACGCATTATAGAGTTATTGAAGAGCAGAGACGGACAAGAAAGAGAAGCCGTTGTGATCCTACCATCCAAAAAACAGATACGCAGACCTGTAAATCTCTTGGTACCTCTAGAGTTAGAGGACAGAACTGCAGAGGAGAGTGAGCAAACAAGAGAGCAAACTCAAAAAGAACCATCAAATTGCAAGTACAACTTGAGGCCTCGGGAAAGAGAACAACATAGCAGAGAAAGTAGCACTTCAAATCTTCGACTTTCTCCACTTATCACCCTATGCGCAACCATTCTATGTATGTCTAGCCTCTCGCAACAAGTACTCTTGTCGAAAGCCTCCACCACAACCATAGAACTACCTCTACTTTTGTCAAAGACGCGCACGTCATTTTACGCTCATAACACATTTGAATATATATGGGTCCAAACACGGGGAGCATGGCTTTCACGAAACACATTCCCAACAACTTCGTGCCCCAACAGGTACACACTCACACAAGTGATTAAAAAAGCATATATTAGAAACAAGTGCAGCGAAACAAGTTGGAATTTTATCTATACCATACACAGTAAATTCATACTATCTAATTTCAGCATGTCTTTTGGAAGAATGGATGACGATGTTCGACGCCTAGCTATCATCTCGGACAGTCACTCGAAAACCGAATTGGAGGAGCACATGAAGCGGACAAAAGAAGCTCTCTCGCGACAGATAGCTACCGCAGTGGCGATTAGAGAAGACTACGAACAACTCAAGGACGAACAAGTCTTCGAAGGGGATCCACGCGAGCAGCTGATTGTTGCCAGTAGACTACAACTCGCGGCAAAAGTGAGCAAAGAGCGTTACCTGGCGTTGTGCACGCGGTTTTCGCTGCTCAACAAATGCTACGCCCTTAGCCACGAGAAAGGCCAAGAAGAAAGTGATTACTACTGCGACTTCCGAGAGATGAGCGCACAAATGGAAGGAATAGAAAAGCTCATTAGAAGGATCGAAAGGCGACGCCAAATCGCGGAGGGCAACCTTCGCTCTACAGCGAATAGGAAAGAGGAAGTGGACAAGAGGATAATGCGGATCGTTCAAGACAAGTTGGCCCAGCGTGACCAGGAGATTTTCCTTCTGAAACGTAAAATCGCCAGTCTAACTCATGAGGAACGCAGTTCCAATCGCAGCACTAGTTTCGGATGTCAAGTTCGCCCCGATCTTTCTAGCGCTGCAGCGCAAACAGAAGTCCCCAAAGCAGACGATGTCGAGCAGGCTGCAGTTGGAGAAGAAGACGAAGACGACGAGATGGACGTATCTTGTGAACAGGACAACTCACTCGTCTTGCTGGATAAAGACAGCGCAAACGACGAACCTATGGACGATGACCAGTACTTGGGACATCTCATACACGAAACTGAATCTAGCCAGGAGAACGAATGTCCGCCAAGAAAGGAAGATGAGAAGGAGGAACGAATCAAAGAAAAACAAGAAGACTGCCGGGCTCTTTTGGAACAAATCGATCAGCTGGAACAAGCTATGAGAGTCTTCCCCTACCGAATGTACGGCGAGGTACCGCGCGGAACCCACGTACTTCTCTTTTGTGCGTTCTGTAAAGCGCGTGACAACCACTACTCCGATTCCTGTCCATACGTAAGAGCCGGCAATGACCGCTACGAACAAGTCAGGCGCGAGAACTTATGCCCACGCTGCCTCGGATCCTGCCCACCAGGACAATGCCAGTTCCGAAGAAGGCCGTGTTTTTACTGCGAGAGGATCAGGTGCACTAAGGCCGCAAGGCTCATACCTCGCGATTCGGGCCACCACAAAGCCCTGTGCACAGTGCCAGATAAGAAGGAAACGCTCAGGCAATGGATTAACGAGCTGAAGCAGCAGTATATCGGGCTCAGAAGAGAGATTGTCAATATGAAGGAAGCCAACGCCGAGGCCCGAGTGTCGCCAAAGGCGACTTTCAGATCGCAGGAGGGCAAGTAGAACAAACCGCGGACTATGGACTCCGCGGGCTATATAAGGAGGCGCCGCCGCCGAGGAACAGATCGCGGATAGGAACGAGACAAGTACAAGTTTTGATAACGAGTGATCTCACCTGTTGTGATTGTATTTAAATGTTATTTAAGAAATCCATTACTACACAATCGTTTCGTTGTTATTGTTATAGCGTTGTTATTGTTATAGCTGTTTTAAAGAGTTTAATTACCCAAGTTTGAGGTACCATCCCGCGTGGCACTCAGACCGACCTACCGCTAAGCCAACCTTTGCTTTAAGGTCAGTCTAAACGATGGTTTCTGGTACTTCACCACAACGTGTCCAGAACACACTTGAGTATGTAAAGGACTCATCCGTTTACGTTGTTGCGAGTGTTATTTTCGCAAGCGCTTGATGCTGCTCTTATCACACTTGAATTGCATTTTTATGGTATGATAGTTCACACCACATGGTCTCGCTGGTTTGTAATGACTAAAGCTAGCTTGTCGTAGAAAGTGTCTCCTTTTTCATCAAGTAAACTGAAAAAATTACTTGTTTTTCTAAAAAATAGCATTATTAAGGATTTTCTGATTTGACAGCAAGATCCTCAACAGTTTGAACATCTCTTCTTAACATCCTCTTGAGCACGGAAAGGCAAGCATAATACATTGCGCCTATTTGACCTTATGAAAGAATGTTTAGAAATCAGCTGGCTGTAATTGGTCCCTTCATTTCTTTTTGCTCAGCGATAATTTCTGATCTACCATTTTCTACTTACAGAGATGAAGAGCCCTTCACAAAGTTGCTTGTTGTTATTAGCATTTGCGGGCATCTGCAATGCTTCGCTTATTTCTATTTCTGCAAGAGAAATGAGCAAAAACGTTGTACCACCAGCAAAATACGATTACGAAGCGTGCCTGGACAACATCTTTGATAATGCTCAGGTTCGGCGCTGACCTCTTATTCCCTCAAGTATCCAATAAAACTTTGTTTCAGCTGATCTTCAACAAAAATCTTGGACTTGATTCAGCACTGAATTGGAAAAATGCCACAGGACTTGCCGAGCAAGTTCACCAGATCATCGACAAGGGTGTGGATAGCTTTATACAAGTGTGCAAGTAAGTTGTTCGGTCCGTAGGTCGTGTATTAAAAATTCAAAAAATTGTTCCAAAATTGTTCAAACTGTTCCAACTAATGTTTTTTGTCACGCGAAAAACGTTCTAATTTATTATGCAGATGAAAGATTCGATAAAACTTGAAACTTCGATATAAAAATCCCCGAAAATTACTACTACTACTACTGCTACTCATACTCGCAGATACCAACTACCAAAATTTTTTGAGAAGAGTAAGTGTAAGTATAGGTGCAAATTAATCAAAAGTATCTTCCAAGCTAGCAGAATTTGGAAAGATCCGATTTACTTGTTCCCATTTATCATTTATGTCCCAGTATTATCTAAGCTAGCAAAATTCGGAAAGATACATCTCCCTGTTTCTATTTATCAGCTTGTATCTACAGGATATGTCAATATGATTTTTGCGTAAAATGATAAATAAAGTGCGTAATTTTTTTCATCACAAGCTACCCTTTGATTAAACTAGATTGGCGACTGGGAGGCGGGTTTCGTGACCTAATTAAGGCTAGAGAATGATTAGAGAGCACTTTCGCGAGGGAGACGCAGATTGCGTCGCGGGAGAGAGCGGCCACCTTCCAGCCGCCAATCATTGAATGGTATATCAACTCGGGTGAATAAAATCAGAAAAAATATGTTTATCATGTTTTACGTTTCAAGTTCTCAACGCAAGACTTACGGTCCAACCCAATGAATACATTAATTTAGTGCCCGTCAAGCCTATGCTTATCAGCTTGGTAACACCTATCCCTTTTGCCTAAATCGCTTCTACCTCCTCAATCGTGATGCTACACCCTTCACTGATGCTGTCACCTACGTCCACATGTATAAACATCTGGAATTTATTTGCAGCACGGGATTCGATGGTTTGCTAATCTCACTGTTTGAGCTAGAAGAGTTCATTTATGCTTTCAGTATATCAAATGAATCTTCCATGCATCATCACCGCTGAACACACAGATGGAACCCTATACCAAGCATGTTTCTACAAATTTCAGCAAATAGTGCAAAATAATCCTTATCGATATTGCGAGTGAGTTTAGAACTTTCTAGATTGAGAAAATTCTGAAAGTTTTAGAAATATAGTGCCAAATTTTGTAAAAAAAATTGCAACTATGTCATTTCTTAGAAGTTTTGGACCAGTTACTTATTCCAATATTTTATCTATCAAATTCTCAAGGGTAGTAAATTCAGATACAAAAAACATTTCTCGACTAAGTTAAAAATGGTTTCAAATAAAGTGATGCAAAGATTTTCCTTCTATAACATTTTTAGAGCCAGTGAGTCGTTTGTGCTGTGCGTCAGGGATTTCTTTACCGAACATTGTGGTGCTCCGGTAAGCCTTTAATATTTTATTTTGAGCTTTCCTTTAAGTTGATCTTACTATAGGAAATCTGTTTTTGTCTCATTCCCGACATATTTTGCCTGAAAATCGAACTACAATGATAAAAACGCATGATGCTCATTTGGTTCTACATATAAAATTTTTTTCCAGTCTACTCGTACAAATACTCTTTTCTTTCTTTATGTTTGCATTGAATGTGTGCTTCATTCGAAAGTGTTAAATTACTTCGGTTTGCAGACTGGATGGGTGCAATGCGAAAAGGAACGCATTGGATTCGCTTACGATTGTCCAGGACTCAGTTGCTAAGATCTTGTTGTACTTTGCAATATATACAATAAATTTTTTTGCCGTTGAATACATATAACCAAGGAGCTTTTGGTACTGATGACCATCTGAAACCAGGCGATCCCCGAACTTGAAAAAAAGGAACCTAACTCATTACCAGTTTTAATCAGAATTACAACGTCATTCTATACATAGCTGTGAGTTTTTCACAGGTCGTTAATATAAATATGACGAGCCAGGTGCAAATAACAAATGTGCTATTATAGCACTCTACATTTCTCCATACATAAACCCATACAAAGTGTTTAATAAATGATAGCGTTTTCGGTAACTTAATGGACGAAAGATTACACCCGAACAAATTGCTTATCGCGTGTACTTATGAATAAAAAGCCTAGACTGATATTGTTAGGTTGGCCAAAAATAATTTCGTTTTAGCGTGGAAATCTCTACAAAAACTTTACGTCTGATTTTTACCTATAATTTTGTGTAGGGAGGTAGTTTCAAGTTTCTTCTATCATATGTCAAGTATTCAGGATCCTCTATTATCAGTAAGGGACACTTATGCCCCTACATAATAAAATTTCGAAATCTGAAATCTGCGACTTTCTAGGCTTCGTTTCCATGCTATAATGGATAGAGAGAACAGTAACTTGGCATCTGGATACAAACAAGTTTTTCTATTTGACGAATAATATCAAAAATTGTAATATGAAAATATGAAAATTCGAGATTTTGTGACCAAATACAAGATTTTATCACGTTCGCACATTATAAGAAAACTGTGGTTTTTCACTTATTTGCACCATACTCAAACAATTTTATGATCCAATTTTCATTAAAGTTCTCTTTCCAGAGGTGTTCAACACTGGACAAGAATTTGTCTGCGGCATTTTTGACAGCCGCAAAAGCGACAAAAAGTATTTATTAGCCAACCTAATCTATAATATTTACAACAGAACCTCTCATATTCAACAGCAAGAAATCTCCTTTGTACTTGTGAGAAACGAATATCATTGTAAAATTTGATTCTTCCAATTCTCAACCTGCTTGATAACAAACAAAAAGATGAAAACTGCTGTTTTATTTTTTCGTGTCGATTCGAACGACCTAGACGATGTGTACAAAAACCCTACGTTACCTGTATGTTATCTGTAATGTTATATTATGTTATCTGTAAGATGATGAGTATAAGATGATATATATATATATATGTGAGATATGTAAGATTATCCTTTATGTTATGTTTATGTTATGTAAGATGAGTGTACACACCAAAGATCACGTATGGGAGCCACTTGGACAAGGCATTGCTGAGTACGTGCAGGCATGGGGGTATAGCTCAGGGGTAGAGCGCTCGCTTTGCATGCGAGAAGTCTGGGGTTCGATTCCCCATACCTCCAGACGAGTTTTTGCGCCACTGTGATTCATTTTCTATGAAAGGAACAACTTTTTTTGAACTGACTGTTTTAGCAGAGAAGTTTCTGAACGTATGCTCTTTGCAGTTTGCTTGTAGTGCCGACAATTGGTGTTTGTTTCCAACTATTTGTATTAGAAAATTTGCTTCATATACCCATGGAAATTTATTGAATTTTTCTCGTTGGAATCAAGTCTTCAATTGACTAAAGCATGCCATCTTCTTCTCTATTACTTCCTACCCTTTACTTTTTTCGCCTACTATATTTACCAATATTTTTTTGTATGTGTTCGGACAAAATATTTCATCAAGGTCGCAGCTTTGAAGATTCTATAGAAAGTAAAATGGATGTAAAAGCAATAGTACACCAAACAATTTCGACTGAACAAGTGATATCTCAAATGCAAAAGAAGTAGGGGGCACCCGGATTTGAACCGGGGACCTCTTGATCTGCAGTCAAATGCTCTACCACTGAGCTATACCCCCACGTTTTCAAATGACGGAGAATCTCCTTGTGTGTACAGATGTGATCGCGTCCTCTCGCGAGCAAACAATCGATGTTGCGATAATTGTCGGAGAACCTTACGTTAGATCGATTCTTTGGCTATGACTGTTCTTACTTGACAAGTTAGGACACTGACAATTTTGGATTTGCAATAATCACTTCGCTTAGACCTTTTGTTTTTCTAGGATTACCGTTTTTTGTCGAGATGGCGATGGATCGATTAATAGATGACGACATTCATGGCGTGAGTCGTAAGCTAGCTGTGTACTTTTGCATTGTTTAATAATCCTACAATAATTATCCAAGTACTTGAAAGTTTCTACAGATTTGTAGGGACTTTCATTTTACATACTACTCCGGGATAGAATCAGAGATAACTTGCGTTTGATCTCGCAGTTTTCGTGATGTTTCTATCAAAATAAGTTTACAATGGAGATTAAATACTGCAATGTTAAAAGTTGGAGCGATTTATTTATTCATTTATTTGAGAACACTTTGAGAAGAAGTAAGAATAAAGCAATGTAAAAGACAAAATAATTAGATTGAATAAATAAAAATTAAATAAATAAACTTCATCTACAAGTAGTACTCTACAGTATCACTAAGCACTTCCTCAGAAACTAGTGGTGATGGGGCAATGAGGAAGTCACATACTTGGTCTAGTTCTTAGCTCCAGAAACGGTAATGTGTAAAATTATCTAATTCATAATTTAACATCATTGATTAACTACCACTACCTCCCTTAACTTATCACTCACCTTTTGTTCTATAACGAACAAATTTGAATAAATAATGACGGGGTTGTCTAGGTGCAACAGTTCAAATCAAGCTGTGAGGTAGCATTATGTATACGATAGAATCGTGAAGATACATTGATATGATACTGTTCGAGCCTATGTGTGGTGCAACTCAGGCAGTCACTCATTTTCAGCACACAGCAAGTTGTTATGCTTCAAGTTATATGGCTCCAACTACGGATTTTGTAAAAAATTACCTCGTAAAAAACGTCCCATCGGGTTCATCGACCAGGCTAAAGAAAGCTGGAGTTTTTGTGATCGTTCAAGTAACAAACACGTGTGGTGCATTTTTATATGGCTTTTGCATGGATCAAGAAATTTTCTGGGATGACATCAATTCTTAGAAATAATTCACGTAGGTCAGGCTAATAGTCTTTGTATCCTATAAACAAATTTATTTGAGATTTTAGTTATTCTAAAAAGTTGATGAAAGGGCATGCGATTATACAACATTTCATTGTGTGCTTTGATCCCAAAAATACAACTTCAAAGTAAGAGTATTTCTTGGTTCTCCTCAAATTATTCCCTCATTGCGACGTTGAGATCCTGTCACAATAACAACTTGATTTTTGAGATACTCTACGTCATCTCTTTGGCGTGAAAGTCTCAGCTGTTTTATACGAGCCAAACGATTTGGACATGGGCAATAGAAGCCATCGCGTCCATGAGCTCCAGGCTCTCCAGGACTTCCAACCACTCCGTCTGCTCCGGGCGTACCGGGCTTTCCTGCTGTACCCTCTGGTCCCGGCAATCCGGGAAGTCCTGGCGTTCCAAGGTTGCCCATATCTCCAGGAAATCCCAAAGCTCCCAGTGCTCCAGGTGCTCCAGCAGGACCAGGTATACCAATCCCTCGCTGCCCGAACTGTCCTTGTGGCCCGGATTCTCCTCTAAGTCCCGCTTCTCCCGGCAATCCAGCATCACCTTCCATTCCAGGAAAGCCTACTAGTCCAGGCATTCCGTGAACTCCTAGCAGACCCGGCAATCCATCTGTTCCTGGTAGTCCAACAGGTCCATCGGGACCAGGAAATCCTGGCTGTCCTGCCGGACATGGGTAACAAATAGAAGGTCCAAAGTAGTTGAGAGAAATTCCGTCCAGTCCACGCATGCCAGGTTCGCCTGGCACGCCAGGCTCTCCATCGTATCCTGGCTGTCCTGGTGGGCCTTGTGCGCCTAGAGGGCAGAAATCGGGCACTGGAGCACAGTCGCACTCTGCTAATTTAGAATGTCGGGCGTGACGGCTTAAACAAGGAGGGTCTTGCTGCTTTCTCGTCACTCGATAGGTTGGACCCATCCTGTCCCAGGCTGTGTCGGCTATGCCCTGAATTTTTTTTCCACAAAATGTAGCAGCTGACTGCACTTAAGGAAGGACCTACCCTGAATTCTGAGAGTTGCTCGATTGTTTCGCCATAGAAGGTGCTAAGATCGTGCACAATACAGAAAATCAGTAATATACATATTAGCATTGCAAGCGTCGCACTGGCCAATGCAGCAGCGATCATTGGTGTGTTCATTGTAAATAAGGGATTACCTCAAAATTTCGCCTACAGATAAGTTTTTTTTGAATCAAAAGAGATTTTTCATAAAATTACAAAAACCCAAATTATATATGGAGTGCACATAATTTCGAAAGAAAGGTGTGCTTCGGTGGTGTTCAAAAGTGCTGGAGATCAAATCAAAACCAAAAAACTCAAAAATCGTAATTTTGTTAGTTTTCTATGATTCTTAAAAGAGCTCAATGCATTCAAACAAACGGCGCAAATATCCTACTTTCTTACCGTGTTGAGGTAAATACAGAATTTTGAAAATTAAAATCAAAATTTTCAAAAAGAGTTTTCTATTTTCGGTAACTTTCAGGTTTTGGTTTCTAATATACGGGGTGTCCCAAAAAATGTATCGAACGTTTGATCGTTAATATCTCTCTTCTGAAGAAGTCTTTTCCCTTGCCTCAGGTACCAATCTGTAGAGCTGGCTTCAGCTTAGATTTGCATTATAGAACGAATCACTCATCTCTCTTCATTACTGTAGGATTACGGTAGAAACTTCAAAGAGGGTTTTAAGCAAGGAAAGGCCATATTTTGCCCCAGAAAGGAAACAAAACAGCCTGAAAACTCTTACATTAGGCTAATTAGAGTTGCTGATTATAACTGTAAAGTTTCCAATTTATTATGATGCTTCATTGAAGAGTTATGCCAGGCAAGAGGTAGCGGCCATTTTTTCAATCTTCCTAAAAAGTGCGGTTAACCGTTTAGAAAGCTTCGTAATCTTGTGAATAGTTGAGTATTGAACTCAGCGTCCATAAAAACCCCAATACACAAGTTTTCACATTTTTTTGAAAAATCTTGAATCGGTAGCTTTTTCCACATTGACACCTTATGTTTCAAGTTTCTACCATAATCCTACAGTAATGAAGAGAGTTGGGTGATTCGTTCTATAATGCAAATCTAAGTTGAAGCCAGCTCTACAAAACGGTACCTAATGCAAGGCAAAAGACTTTTTGGGAAGAGAGATATTAACGATCAGACGTTCGATACATTTTTTGGGACACCCTATATTTAGGTTGAGAAGAGTTTTTTGGAGCAAAAGATATCGCTGGATTTTGAAGCAGTTCGCCAAATGACAAAGGATAGCAGCGAAATGTTTCGAAATGTGAAAGGCTGCTTAGCTTTATAGTCAAAGCTGTTTACAGCAAAATTTCAAGTTGTTCCTCGAGCAATTTGTTTCCTTCTTATGCAAAGCCTCTCCACCTCCCGGTTTCAATAACTCTTGAGGTGTGCAACTTACAATTAGATCCTCAAAATACGAGAGAAGCTATTGACTTTGACACAAGGTGTTCCAAAATTTCACACTGTTCTTTGATCAAGAACAATGATATTTTTGAGGGTTCTGCATGTCACGGCCTCGAATTACGTTTTCATCTACCAAGAAACGTCTTCCGATTGCATGTTTCCATTCCCAAGCAGACAGTTGCTAAAACGGTAATTATCTCCCGACAACACCCTTGGTTATTTGAGTCTCTCTTAAGTTTTCTCTCATCTCAAAACCAGATGAAACAGGAGCATTTTTGCTCATAGCGAAAATTTTTGCTCATTTTATGTTCGATCAACAATCGCAAGAAGGGTTGAGAGCCTTGAGTAAGAATTAAGCCTTTTCCTCCTCCCTGAAGTGTGCCTGCTGACGCCTAAAACCTTCACGATTACCATCACAGCTGTTAAGAATTTTTGAAACGGGCTTAGTTCGAATTTTGTGCAGTTTTTATTGGAGCTAACCGAAGAGATGCAGAAGCGAGGGGGAGTAGACCTTCTCCTTCCGATCATTTTAGACTTCTAAGGGCCGCATGCACTAACCTCCCCGCGGGGAGGGGGTCGCAGCTTAAAAGGAAGCTTTATATTTCAAAACTCCAGATACCTGGATTTCACGTTGTGTACCTATCCGTAAGTATTCCTACTACCTTTCACTATGAACATGTTGAACAGGAGCGAGAAGCTGTACGAACCACATTTTCCAGCTTTTGTATGATCCCTGATGATCCCCGGCGCTTTTCTTTGAAATCATTTTTCTTTCTCCGATGTTAACGAAAAACCTCCAAAGTTGTGCAGATTATCTAAACCGACAGTGCTAAGCATGTTGCTGATAAGAACAAATGATGTTTTGAAGTCATGAAATTTTCGATGATCCACAGGTCGAAATTTGAGGTTTGCCGGAAAATTCGACTTTTTAAAAACTCATTTGTTCTCATCAGCAACATGCTTAGCACTGTTGTGTCAGATGTTCAGTACGACTTTGGAAGGTTTTCGTTAATTTCGGAGTAAGAAAAATGACTTTAAAGAAAAGCGCCGGGGATCATCAGGGATCATACAAAAGCTGGAAAATGCGGTTCGTACAGCTTCTCGCTCCTGTTCAACATGTTCATAGTAAAGGGTAGTAGGAATACTCAAAGGCAGCGTCCCACCAGACTGGGGGTACCTGGCTCCCGTGATGATATAATAGTAGACTCCCTACCTAAGCGATGACTGAAGTTCGGAGCGAAAAAGGGGTCTACCAAGCCTGAAACTTGCTCCGAAAGTGGGCCGAATCTTACGGTAGGATCGGGCGAGTGCGAGGTGGGGAACACGCGGAAGGCGACAAATGCCCTGGAACGGGCGCGATTAGTGGCCACGCCCTGTCCGAGTTCTCCGCCAATCAGCCATTCAAATCTTTGTACTGGAGCGCGACTGCACGCTTTCTACATGTTTCGTTTCTTGTGCGATCACGTTTTTGTCTCTGTTCGTATCTATCATTTACTAGTTGTATATCTTTCACGTTCTGTGTAAACATCTTTGCTCACAAGAGTAATGTTTGATGCAGGAGTAGAAGACGTACATACACATGAGCAACTTAAAAGGACTTGTCCACTGATTCATTAGAGGTATGATTTTTTCTTGTGCCCTGTGCTTTTCTACTTTTGCATTTTACAATTTGCTTCTTTAGTCAATATCACTTTATGAGTGTTCTCGCCTTACTCATAGTTAGCATTTTTTGTCATCATCAAATTGTTTGTGCGACTTATTCATTTCATTTTAGTTCAGATATACGCAGAAAGTCCTTGCTTTCAACTTCGTGAGCCATAGCTATGGACTTATGAAAGGTAAGCGCTCTCACTCACTCCTTTTCTACTTTAACATCGCAAACCGTTTTCTGTCATTGAAGGGTGGATGTCCATAAGTGCATTCGAACAGAGACGAGCTCAAGAGCCATTGATGTGAGCATTCTGTAATTGTGCTACTCTTACGCTCGAGTTATCAATGCTAGATGTTGCTTTTTCTCACTTTTGTGCATTTATATGGTTTTTTAATATCGTTATCTAAGGGTCGTAGATTCTTTTCTTTTCTCAAAGAGATGGTATGTTAACGTGACTTCACTCACTTGTAAGCAGTATTTCTAAATACATAATGGTCCCTTGTAGATACTATTGTCGATAATGACTATGTGGAACAAATAGAATTACAGAAAAACTTTGGAAACTCAGTACAGGAATTTTTTGTTTTTGTTGTAAAGTTGTATTCCACATCAAAATTCGGCTTTCCTTGTGATTCATTTTTTTTTCAGGGTGGACCTACAGGTAAAATGTACCATATCATTTATCATTGTATCATTTCCTTTTTGTCCTATACTCTGGTGCAATTTCTGTTGTGAATAAAGTGTTCTTTTTTGCACTGTCAAGCAAAACAGCAGAAAAACTATGAAAACTTGAAGCATTGACAAAGACCATAAGTCGCGAAGGTTTATCGAGTTTGCGGTTCGCCTAGATACAAACTAATGTTGACATTTCGCCAGAAAATGAGGTTTTTCTTACTTTGAGCCTTGAAAGGAACTGCTTTGCAACATTCATTGTGTTCAATTCAGTTCTATCCGAATGATAGCCACATAACCGCATAGTACACTGATGCAACTCGGTTATTCTCACTTAATCTGGAAGTTAATCGAAATATGGTTGTGAGTAGCATGTGACCGAAATCGAATTTCGCTGCGAAATCTCACACTGCAATCAGTTAGCTATCATTAAACAATCTACAGTTCTACACTGAAATACGTAACCTTTCCTTCGTACACTGAGTGATCACTCCTACCAATTTGCACACGAACTCTCATGGACAAAACAGAGTAGTCGAGGAGGACATCGCCACCATTCACGCGCCAGCCTATGCGCCACAAGAGCGTCAATCTGTCTAATTGACTCGAGGCCAGCACTAAACAGCAGGCAAGTTGGAGGCGTGGCCACCGTTCCCTCGCCTCTACTGGGTTTTGTCGCCTTCCGCACCACACCCGTGCGAGGTGCATGCAAGATAGAGACGCAGAGCCGTTGCACTGGTCCCTGCGCTCATGATGTGTGCGCTATACGCACTCTGGCCCTGCAAATCGATATTGCCGAGTGGGCGGCGTTCGGCCCTACCGTAAGATTCGGCCCACTTTCGGAGCAAATTTCAGGCTTGGTAGACCCCCTTTTTCGCTCCGAACTTCAGTCATCGCTTAGGTAGGGGGTCTACTATCACATCATTACGAGAGTCAGATATCCCCAGTCTGGTGGGACACTGCCTTTAAGGATAGGTACACAACGTGAAATCCAGATATCTGGAGTTTCGAAATATAAAGCTTTCTTTTAAGCTGCGATCCCCTCCCCGCGGGGAGATTAGTGCATGCGGCCCTAAGATAATGTACTAATGGGAGGGGTTAGACCGATCCCCCCCCCCCCCTTGTACACCTTCCTTAACGACCCCTCGTTCCCCGTTCTTGCTTCCACAACCTCATAATGTCGCACTTTGGAGAGAAATATCCCTGTAGCGAAGATTTTATGATTTCCTGAACTCTGTATGCTTAGTTTTATGCCCCTGCATATTGCACGATGCAAATAACGACGGCAAATCTTCTCTTAGTTATTTTTAAAGCGCCATAACTTTTTCATGAAAGTAGGATGGGGCCAAATTACTGTCTTGGCAAGAGCAGTCTTGAGCTTACTGCTAACGGCAGAAATGGAGCAGTTGGCGGACAATGAAAGCTGGAGGCAGAGCCGTAAAAGCAAAGGCTGCAAATCCCTGACCCCCCCCAAAAAAAGGATGAAAAAGAGGAAGAAAAATAATCAAATAATGAATAAAAACTGCTGAATACCGCCGCTTGGAAACACTGCAGTGAGTTTGAAATTCTTTTGTTGGCGTATTTCCAGTCGCAGGTTTTCGCTTCAGGACCCGCCGGTTCACGGGAAGACGAGATAAGGCAAATTTCTGCAATCAAAGGCAATTCATGGTTTGAAAAGTGACAGTTACCAAGGAAATGCAACGAGAGTAAATTAGTCTCAAAAACAAAAAGTTTCACTTTATTAATACGTTTCGGACCAATTCGCGCTGCAAAAAAGCATGCAGTCAACCAACAGATCTCATTTCGTGGAATAAGTACTCTGTGACCAGCAAGCATGTCAAATAAGCTCCATACCTGAAATTCTAACTGCAGTGAAATAGCTGAATTTTGTCAACCAAAAGGACCATTTTCTTGGAAAGCAGAAATAGATCTCAGTACCGTATATTTACTAACAATAAGCTCACCTATATGTCACACACGACACAATTGGCATCACTATGTCGAAACAATTGTTCGACTTGTCATTGTTTCTTTTGAAATACCGGCGGCATAGGGCCATAAAGTTTTCTCAAGAGTACGAGCCTGGCCTGACTTGATATTTTGGACTATGACATGACCCACCGTGGAATTAGAAGACTCTATAGGTACGTTCCGAAAAGTGTTAAAGTGGAAACGCACATGAGGCCAAACTGCGTTTAACATTTGAATAATTCTTCTCATTTCTGTTTCCGGCAAAGTGGCCAGGGTAATCTGATCATCAATTCAATCGAAACGCCTAAAAAGAAAAGAAGTTTGCCACTTAGTTCATTCTAAAGACCTAAGTGTAAGAAATGCCACACTTCTTGAAGCTTCTCGATAAATATTCCGACGTTAGCTTATAAGTGATCAAGAGCTACAAGATTATATGCAATTGCCAGGCTTGTATTCGAAGCAAATGCAAAAGGATGGCAGACCTCTATCGTCATGAGACGTATCTCCGCGATCTTCCCTTTACGTTACCATTTCTACTTCAATGTTTATTGTATCGCCGCGGAGACGCAAGGAAATATTTCCACTACGTGCCTCAAGCTCCAGCTTTCTCAAAATACGTATTTCATTTCACTGCAGTTATCGCTTGACGGATCAACGCGTGGAGGGCAAAATAAGCCTCGAGAGCCGATAGGCCTAGTTGTTGAGTCGACCGTTTACTCTTCGTTTTATCAGTTCGGTTTTGTCATTTTATTGCAACATTTTTTTGCTCTGTTCGTGACGATTGCTTGTTCATGTTCAATCCTTTGGTTTAATTCAAGTTTGGGATAGAAACCGGTCTACCGAGTGTTCTGTGTTGTCGTGCAATCCGCGTGGCAATTTAGTGAATGATAGCTAATATATGGTGCATCGGTAGCTTCGACAAAGACTGTATGAAGCACTTTGTCCAAGACAGAAGAGCGTGAGGAAAGCTAAGAAAGAGGTGCAACCTTCCAACAGCCACCAACTAAAATCAGGTACAATCTGAGGCCATGACAACAGGTACGCTGTGAGGAGTATCGCGGCTACAAAGCGCGAGCTGCAAATTACAGTTTCCGTTTCCCAAGCTGCGATATCATCTGAGTTGATCTTTTACAGAATTTAATGCGCCATCGTCACGTCAACAACTTGGAGCGGTGATGAGATTCAAGATATCGAGATCAGTGCAACAACTTCAAGCCGTCGGACGGCATCATCCTGCATCACGTTTTGTCTTGATCATTTTTGATAGATTTGCGCCTTACTGTATTTTGGGAATGCATCATTTTTGATAGAGAATTGCGCCTTATCGTATTTTGGAAACTACGCCTTTCATGCCGCCTAAAAAAGAACATCTTGGAAGCTTAGTCCTTTGCGCGCCAGTATGAAAAATTCCTAGGACTAACAAGGGAAGGATACCAACATTAGTTGGCAATTGAAAATGAGATGTATACCAGTAGATGCATCTTTGAACGCTGATTCCAAATCTGCTTTCTTTTTTTGCGGAATAAGTTTCCGAAAGAAGTTGTGAGCGTTAGAATGTCCAAATTTGTCAAGGTTTAGGTGGCCTAAAGTTGACGAAACGACGCACAAAAACATCGGAAAGCGGGAAATCAGTTTTGTATTGAGCATATCGCTTGCAATGAAGGAACAAAGCCGATGGAAATTGCTTAAGTATTGTCTTAGAGCTTTTCGCTAATTTTATGCCATTCAATGCTTGGCAAATTTGGACATTCAAGCGCTCATAACTTCTTTCAAAAAGTTGTTCCGCAGAAAAGGAAAGCAGATCTAGAATCAGCGTTCAAAGGCGCGTCTATTGATATACATCTCATCTTCAATCGCCGACTAATGTTGGTATCCTTTCCTTGTAAGCTTCTAGCACGCCTTTGACAAAATACTCAATTAGCTAAAGCAATATGTTGAAAGTCAATTTTGAGATGCGCCAAAGAAAATGATAGATCGAGCTTTCACTAGTGTAGTAGCTGTATGTTATTTGTTATATTGCGCCGTCGTATTTTTTATCATAAAATATTGGTGAAAGACAGGGTTTAATTACCCAAGTTTGAGGTTTCAATAAAGTGGTCGAGTGGTTGGTGTTGGTGAACAGTGTGAACCACCGAGCAAATTTAAGGAGGCCATTATAACAACAATTTCTTTCCCTACACGCCATCCCAAAAATACGAGCGCTGACAGATTTGCGCGACAACATATTCAATTGTCTTAACGTCGACTACACAAGGAAAAAGTAAGCGAGTTACAATGCAACGTCAACATGTTGCGCAACTCCAAAATGAAACTGGACAGAAAGAGAGTAAAGCCCACTATTACAAACTAATGTCGGAAAAACTTCGTTTTGAATTCATGTTACCTCGCACACAACTGCGCACTTTTTATGTCATTCCTGGACTCTTGTCGTCGACGACGGCAACGATGGAGATTTGAGAGACAATGGTTTGGATTGGCCCGTGAGAATGAAGACTGAAAAAAACTCCTCGTGACCTGAAAAGAAGTCGAGAGTATGTCGAAGACGAACTGAAATACCTCGAAAGCAAAACAATGTATCTACAACTCATCGATAAAACCTGGCATCAAAACGGCCAGTGGCAGTGGAAGCATAGAGAAGACTTTGAAAAACCTACAGAAAAATCAAAAGAACGTTAAGAAGAGTTAGAAAACCTCAGACCGAAGATTTTCACAAACAACAACTAACACGTTAGACGAGGACAACAAGATCGCTTCGGCAAATAGCGACGCTGAAAAAAAGCGAGCATCATGAAGAGGAGAGAAATAAGGAAAGAGAAGCAGTAGCCTTTCGATATTTCCAACTCGACAACTAAGTGCAAGAATTTGATTGATTTGCCAAAGATTTACGGCTTCTTTTGCTGCATTCAAAAATATACCTAAAAAACAACTTTTGAAGTGAAGAATTGCAAGACGCACATCATTTTTGCACCAATCCAGTGTTATTGTCTACTTTCGAAGTCTTGATCATTGATTATATAATAAGATAGATTTAGAGCAGGGCACAGCATCTCACTACTCTCAACCTTAAACTTTTGAACACATTCTGACTGTTTTCAAGATGTGGCCTTGACAAATGTGCCAATCACAACTGCTGCTCCCAAACCTAAATTCTACATTCAAGCTTCGAAAATGCGAGTTCGTTTGTGGTTTATTGTAAACTTTTTTAGAAGGTATCTGCTGCATCTTAGCATTAGCTAAGATCCGCAAAACCGCAAAACTCTCTCTGAAAGTAAACAAAGTGTGTACAATCCCTTACCTATCTTTACCGTTTCCGAAATAGTGCGGCATCAACTTCAAGATCAAAATAAAACTTGTGAATTGAATAAGATTGACGAGGCTTTGGGAATTTTATAGAGTCATTTTCACTTCGGAATTACGGTATAGAAAACAAAAACATTGATATCCCTCCCTGTTGCTGTCAGAGTATAAATATGCTTTGTAGCGGGAGCATCAACAAAATTTTTCTTCGAAGAACTTACAATTGAACTTCTCATTACTGAGTCAAAGAATATCAAGAATTCTCGTTATGTTAACAGTTTGTTGGTTTATCATTACAAGAGTGGTCTACCTGAAGACAGAGGTATGAAAGGGTTGTCTGTCTCTTCGCATCACCTTCTTCAACGCAGCGGCTGCTGGTGTAGTTGCTCTCTTCACATTTTGATTCCCTCTCTCCATTCTCCCTCCCCTCCCCCTCCTCACCTGCATGAGATGGCAAAATATATTGCAAAAATTGAAACTAACAGTTTATAGTCTACGAAAAACAACAAAAAACTTGACTCTTAATCTATTGCTGTCATACTCCACGTCGTCTTCTTTAAGACAATCTTTAATTATAAAACGCCAGTTTATTAATGGTCAATACCAGTAGCGGACCCGTCCCCCCCCCCCCCCCCCCCGGACGAAAATCCTGGGACCGCGTCAATACTGCTCAGTAAGCGGATAAAATATTCACAGTTCCTAAATCTACAATTTTTTTAGCTTTTATGCTAAATCTGGATCAGTGTACTGCTTGCCGCTCCCTAAAGCTCCAGATAGCGTCGTCTCGTGTCAACGAATGCGTATAAAAGTCCGTCAAGGTTGGAGTTGTAGTGAAATTAAGCTCAACAGAATTATTGCTTGTTATCTTTAAGAGATCTTGTCTGGAAATTGTACGCTTTTATCGGGGTTTCTATCGCCCCTATGGAATAGCGATTTTATCCAACGGGGAAAAATGTAAGTTTTGAAAATAAACTTGAAGTATAGTGCATTATTGCACCTGTCGATAATTATTTCTTGGCTCCGTTTCCATCTACAAAATAAGCGAACTAGCTTATTAAGAATCAAAGCTCATAACATTTCATCGCGAATACGATCTACTTGAAAATTGAAATAGCATAGTGGAAATAATTAACCACATGCAAAAAATACAACAGTTCCAACAAAGTCCATTCATGAGAGTTCGCACTTACCTAAGAGTTAGTTTCTAACGATGTGCGAGAATGAAATCACAAATTTCTGCCATTCGAATTCAAACCTTGCTAAGGTTTTGCATGATTGTTAGCCTCGTTCTGAGACTCTTCAAATTTTTTACCAATAAACTACCGCCTTTGCCTTAGTTTGCATGCTGTACAACAAAAGTTGTCAACTTCTACTTCTTTTCTTTGAGTGAATCTCTCGAAGTGCAGAATATTGTCATACTTTAGAGGTGTGTGCAAGTTCATTAGAATGTAGATAATACTTGATCTTCAGACGAAATATAGCTTTTCTACAGGCCTAATGAGAATGCTCCCATGCTTTTGGCCTTAATTTACCAACATTCCCATTCATCACTTTACCTGCATGATGTCATTGTCACATGGTAATCTATTGATTTAGCTCAATACACAGGACGAGCTTAAAAATCTGGAACGATTCTGTCATCGTTATTTCTAGGTCTGACGGAGGAAACAGTATAGAGTGCTAATGTTGAAATTGCTCCATCAATGCATATACGCCATGGTTTTCAATGAATAAAATTCCGTATTTATGAGAAATGGGAACAAGACACTTGATCCGAAATCTGTAGGTACTTGTCTCAACACATGAATATTATTACACTCCAGCCGCGTATAGTGTATGAACATTATATGAAAAATCGTCAGCGTTGTACTTATTGTTCTCAACAAGTACGCAGTAGCAAACCTAATGAATGCGAAAACAATCTTGAGAGAAGTTCAGTTCTGGTACTTTTATGAAATTTTAATTGCTTGATAAGGTTATCTTTTAAAAGCACCTGCTTTTTTTCAGATAGCGATGAAAGTAAATCACTCGACCATACACGTCACCGCAGACCGTAACACAAGTCTTATTGCTTTATACAAAATTATGAGCAGAAACATACCTTTTTAGCAAATGGTCAAAATCTATTGGAACGAAATCATTGACTGGGAGTTTGTCGTATCTATACTGACAATCATTTATTATATCTGGCTATTGGTACATATGCTGAGATCATCGAAATCTGTTTTTCAATCAGCTTTCTTTCGAATCTTCATAGTAACAGGTATGCTTCAATCATGATCAATGCTAACCTCTTTTTCAAGAGAGGTTATATTTGACTATTGCTTGCAAACTTGCCCACTGTTCTTTTTTTAATATGTGCTCTTTTTTGGTCACTTTATTGTAGACACGTTCGACCAAGCAAAATAAGAAATTTGCGTCATAATTTTCTACTCATTAGAGGCAGACCCTCAATTGTTTTATAATAGCTACACAAGTTTCTCTTTTCTTTTCTCCGCTAGCTGCTTTTTATGGGAACTCAGACTTTCTTTTGCAGTAAAATCAATGGCCCGTAGTAAACTACCGTCAGGGCATCTCCCCTGAGGCGGACCGGAGTTGATATCTTGGCGCCTCAGTCCAGCATCCGGCGGGCTATTGATCTGGATGCAGATCGCTTCCTGGACATTATAATCAAGTGCGTTCTTGAAAAAAGAACCACTTGAGCTGGTTTGGTTAAATGGGTAAGCCATTGGAATTACACGCGCGCGGCCGTGGTTCAATTCCGCCTAGCGACACAACTTTTGCTGCATCGCCGGGCAATCTTTGATAGCGGCCACTATCCAATCGATGATGACCGCTATCAAGGATTTCGCCTAGCAAACGTAAAGATAAAACAAAACTGACATATTTTGACGGAGAATTCATGAAAAACTGAAATTTTTGGGACATAAATAAAACGTAATAAATAAGTAGATTCTCTTCTAAAGTAGTTTTTACAAGAAACTAAGATTGCTCTACAAAAAAATAAGAAAACTTTTATCCTTGCTTTTGTCGCCAAAATCAGCTGTTCATCGATCCTTCCCTTTTCGGGCGCCGGTATTGTGCAGTTTTGCGCCGATTTTGTCTGCATTTTTTGGCAAAGTTGTGTGTATCGTAAGTTACTCAGGAGCAACTTACGACGATTTTCTCTGCGTTTCCTCTTGAGCACACTATTTCTGGACATCATCGCTCATATCATCTCCCATGACCCGGCAGGGGAGATCATCTCCCTGCCGAACTTCACCTGAGGCTCACCTCTCAGGTGACCTTGCATCCCTATAGCATGGGGATATGGGCGGTCGTCATTTTACTGGCAAAACCTCACATGAAGGTCGTAGGGGAGATCATCTCCCATGATCGAGCTTTACTACGGGCCAATGTTTTGTTGAAGTTTGAACAACAATTGTGCCTTTCACATGTGGCACAAACGTATCATCCATTCCAAACAGCATAACGCTCCCAAAATACAGAAATGTGTCAGTAACTTCAGTCAGCCATATTAAATCCATCAGCTAGTTTCATGGAAAGTTTGCCACCAAGATTTGTACAGCTATTTACGGTGCGATTCTTATTCCTCTCGTGAATATCATGCTTTTGAGACCATGTTTGGTAGAAGTTGAACAAGAAAGAGTTGGTGAATTCTTTTCCAAATAGATTCAGGAGCATCCAGCTCAAACAAGAAAGTGTGTATAAGTGTGTATATTTCAACAATTGCGCAGAGTTTGCACACTCTTTTTGCATCTAATTAGAAGTTGGCAAAGACATTATGATGTAATTGCAAGAAAAAGAACAAAAGATCCATGCTTGATGGGTCCTTCCACCCATGCATAGCTTCATATCGGTGCCACCGTTATGGAATAAAAGACTCAAAACTTGCTGCAGGAAAATTTTTGCATTTTTTTGCATTGTTTCTTGTGACGGCCTTATAGAATGTTTCATGTACATACAGAGTATCAGTAACATCGAATGTTTAACTATTCACTACAGGTTTCTTCGATATTCAATGCATAATGGCAGCAGAATGGCTTAGAGCAGACTGGCGTATGGGCCTTGGTAAGTCGATTTCAGGTTAACATTTCAGCAAAAAAAAACTTCTTTTTTAAGCTATTAGTGACTATCGAAAGCTTTAGGTTAAAGTAGCTGTAATAGCTTCATCAACCAAGATGTTTCATTTAGGTCCAGACTATGAGTTAGTAACTCGATTGATGGGTGTCTTCACCGGTCCTCAATCATTTATCCATCTATTCGGCTCCTTGTTGATGACAATCAACCGGTATACAGCTGCATGCCATCCGAGAATCCACCATTTCGTAGGCTTCAATTGTACGGATCGTTCGGACACGTATCAATTTGCAAACTTTAGCTTTGGAAGCCAAAATGGACTTACTCGTTACTTACACTTGGAATAATAGCTTCTTATGTTGTTCATGCTCCCTTATTTATGAATAGCTTTGTTTATGAGGTAGTAGATGGCAAATGGATGATAGTAGGATGGGCTGAACCGATTCCGGTGCGTACGTTTGCAACGTACATATGTTTATACTCTCGTGTGGAAAGCTACAAAGTTTTTTTTACAGTATATTCGAATCATGAGCGTTATCGTAGTAATTACTTACGAAATTATCAGCGTGATTCTTATTATACCAACACTATATGTAGTGGCGAAACTGAATAAAGTGAGAACAAGCAAATTTCGGAAGGAAATGGTAAGCACTATACATAACAGTCTTCACTGCAACTGGCGCCAATGTTGTTGACTTCTCTGCGTATTGAGCAAAACTGAGCTTTTCCACTTGGTAGCTTTATACTCCTTCCTACTTTTTCTACTACCTCTCCTTCTGAACTTGTTTCTTCTTCGTGCTGTTCTGAAAGGTGGTGAAGATATTTGGGAGAAATTGTCCTAGATCAAACATTTCTTTCAATCTATCTGAAGGATTCTCTATTATTCGGTGAAGAATCGTAACGAAAAGTGTGATAAATTATTCATTCATCGTTTCCTCCAGCTTGAAGAGCGATCTGTTTGATTTCTAGGCTTTCTCTCGAAGTTATCGAAGATTGCGACATTTCCTTTGAAAAACCAACTAACTAATTTTTGGAGAAACGCACGATCGAATGTGATTTTTCATAATATATAGAATACTCAAATCTATCTTAGTGATTTCACTCTCTTGTTGCTACCAGGGCTCGGCACGAGGTGGCTAGTTGAAAATGCAAAAAACGAAGTCCCCCTTGACTTTTGCGAATTTTTACGAAGTCCCCTTTGACCCTAGACCAAAGCTCGCACGAGGTGGCGTCTCGAAATTGCAAAAAAAATGAAGTCCCTTTTGACTTTAATGAAATTATGACATCCGCCACGAGATATTCGAACAGAAATTACATGAAAAGGAACGGAACAAAGCAACAGCAGAAAAAAAAGAAAAAGAATTATCGAACACACGCGATTATATTCATATTCTCTAAAATGGTGGCATAATGTGTCCATCGTGCAGCAATACGCGTCTAGAGCAGCCTTTCCGCGGCCATTCAAAATTTTCAAGGGGCTATAACTAAGCGGGGAGAAGGGGGTTTGAGGCGGTTTAGGAACCAGTGTAGGGTTTGGGATGTAGATGGAAAGTATGTAAAGAAAGTAGAAAAATTATGTGAAGGAAAAAAAATTTATGACTTTTTCTTTCCTAAGCCGCCTCAGGTGGCTATCCAGGTGGCTTGAAAGCCACCTAACTCCGAAAAAAGTTGAGCACGCCTTTAGTTCACATAATTTTTTCATAATTTTTCATACTTAGTCCTAACTCCCCATTGCCCATCTACACACCTATTTTGGTGTCATTTCATCTTCACTTCGCCGTAAACAAACCTTTTGTTTATTTGCTAGCGGCATGCCGGCAGCGTGCCGGCCGCAGATCGAAAGACAACGTTATGCTTTTCCGCAAAACGATATTCTCCTTGCTTTTTCCCCAAAAACGATATCCAGCTTGCTTGCTAAGCCACCTGTGCCATGCCCTGGTTGCTACAAAACAAATTACAGCTTACATAAAAACTCCAGAAGCTCTACTATTTTGTAGCTAGGCAAAGTTTAAAGTTTCGGAACACTCGTTTATACTTATATTATGCTTATCACTCTTCATCAACCTGAAAAAATGGCACATGATGAAGCAGTCAATTGTCACTTACGTACATCCCGTAAAATCCTCTTTTCTCTACAAAAAGTATAAAATCTTCAACATCACCACAAATTCTAATTTAGGGGTTGGTAATTATACTGGCTATGGACTGTGTGCTTGGGGCATTTGACTGTGCCTACGAGACTTCTGATTTGATGGGTTTTGACCGAGCTATGAATCCCGTTCTTTTTTTCATTGAAGAGAATGTAAGTAATTCTCCAAAATGCTTAGACGACTCCGTGATCAAACCTATGTTCACCCTTGTAAGGTGATGATCAGGAGTCGAAGCGGCAATTTCAAAAAAGCTGCATACTATTGGATATAGCAAAGAACGCGGACTCCAAGTGTGGCCTTCCGTATCTGAACACTTTGTAGAAGAATATTTTTAATGCTTGTACATGAATACTGCAAAGTTGAAACCTTAGCTTTTAAGCCAAGACTTTGAAGAGCAATCTACCCACATGCTTCAGTTTCATCGAATTTTTTATTTTGTATACACTAATCTCTTGCAATAAAAAGGCTTATGTGTTCGTCTACAGACTCGTTCAGCAGGCAGAAAAAGTGGGCCTGGAATCAACGTTCTGTCTGCATCCGTTCGTATGCAGCATGCTGGAGACAGCCAATTCGACTTCTGATCGTTCCCTTGTTCGAAGCCAGTAATGACGCAATTTTCAAGAATTCTTTCAGTTCTGTCTCTTTCTGTTCCTAAATGTTTCGTTGAATGCGTATGTGATTATTTTCTTGAGCAGCGACCTACAGGAAGAAGTTTTCGAATTTCTCAAAGTTCAACGCTGGAGGCGGACATCTGTGAAAAGCATAAAAACATAACTGTTAGCATATATAGTATCGATGATAGCCTGTAAATCGAAGATTGCTGGTGTATATGAATGTTTTTCCTTGTACAAAATTGAGCATTTAATTACTACTTACACTTGGTATTTGTGCAAATGTGCATTACATGCTTGCATCTCGAAATTGCTTAGTGCATTATAATTCGGCTTGGATTACCTTTTATCTTTGCAATTTCCTTCGCAGAGTCTTTATTAGGGCTTTTTTCAATTGCGAATCCTTTTCTCTTCTATGCTAGAGAAGTGTGTTTGAAATTGTGTTGCAATAGGGATGTGAGCTCAATTCGATAATGTAGTCTCGATGCTTTTGTACCTCAGCATTGGAGGAGGCAAATAGGCTGCTCTTTGCTTGCTACCGTCGTTTTTTTGAAGGTGGAACAGGAGCGGAGAGAGAAGTGCGAATGATGAAGAAAACAATGGGAAGAGTATTTCGAAGGAGCCTTCATTTTTTCGAAGGGTGTGATCTATCTCCCTTTAGGGAGTAGGAATGAAATAAAAGGCATCCCGAAGAAATCTCCAAAATTGTCACCAAGGAAAGCGAGGCGTGACAAGTCTGGGCAAAGTACTGGCTGGGCATGACGGTATTTTGTTCTCTGCAAAAGCTGTACCCGCTATAAACTCGCAATTATCCTTGACATCAAGCGCAACTATAGTTATTTCTTTGATAATGAGTTCGTAACGATGAGAGCGCCAAGCGGACCGAAGGGCTTCCAAAAACCTTGAAACCTTTAGAAACAGCAAAATTGCTAGTTCCCACCGCTTAATAACGCATGCAGCACAGCTTAGGCACAGCTTCGGCGCAGTTGGAGAGCTGTACTGGAACTGTGCCAGAACTTGCAGATTAGTATGAATCTGGAACCCTATGAACCTACCTTGCCTGTTTGTGGTAGTTGCAAACTACACTAACCCAGCCATGATCGTTATGAAAACGCTTGTGCATGTATTTCAGCAGAGACTATGGATAGCACGTTGGATGCCATGATGAAACTTGAGAAACCGAATAATTTTTGCTAGCGAGAGAAAATGGGCATGTTAAACACTAAGGGCCGCATGCACTAACCTCCCCGCTGGGGAGGGGTCGCAGCTCAAAAGAAAGCTGTATAATTTGAAACTCCAGATACCTGGATTTCACGTTGTGTACCTATCCGTAAGTATTCCTACTACCCTTCACTATGAACATGTTGAACAGGAGCGAGAAGCTGTACGAACCGCATTTTCCAGCTTTTGTGTGATCCCTAATGATCCCCGGCGCTTTTTTTTTAAAGTCATTTTTCTTTCTCCGAAGTTAACGAAGACCTTCCAAAGTTGTACTGAACATCTAACACAGCAGTACTAAGCATGTTGCTGATGATAACAAATGAGTTTTTGAAAAGTCGAATTTTTTGGTAAACCTCAAATTTCGACCTGCGGATCATCGAAAATTTCATGACTTCAAATTATCATTTGTTCTTATCAGCAACATGCTTAGCACTGTCGGGTTAGATAATCTGCACAACCCTGGACGTTTTTCGTTGACTTCGGAGAAAGAAAAATGACTTTAAAGAAAAGAGCCGGGGATCATCAGGGATCATACAAAAGCTGGAAAATGCGGTTTGTACAGCTTCTCGCTCCTCTTCAACATGTTCATAGCGAAGGATAGTATGACTACTTATGGATAGGTACACAACGTGGAATCCAGGTATCTAGAGTTTCGAAATATAAAGCTTTCTTTCAAGCTGCGATCCCCTCCCCGCGAGGATGTTAGTGCATGCGGCCCTAAGTCTTACAAGGGAACGATCCCAACTTAAGGTGGCGAATTGGAATAAGCCGCATACTATTAGATGCGTCTTGATGAGCTGATTCCAAATCTACCTTCCATATCTGCGACAACGTTATCTGGAAGAAGTTATGAAAGGCTAAAAATGTGAAGTAACGGGGGTTTTGATGCATAATTTGCTTTAAAATCCAACTTGGAAGTGAACGACTAGCATCATATTGAGTGTACTGATTTCACGGAATGCTCAGATTCAAAAGAAACACAAATAAGTGTTTTTGAACAGCTAAAAAGCAACTAAAGTTCATTGGTAAAAGCTATGAGCAATGAAAAGTCCAAATTTGGCAAATATATCAGGTCGTTTCAAAGTAATTTCGTTTTTTTCAAACGGCGCCACATTTGATGGAAACGAGATTTCTAAAAGATCTTGGAGGCATTCGATGTAGAATTTCATTCTCTTTCCAATGATTATGGAAATGTTGCAAAACGTCTAATGAACTTTCAGAAAATAACCAAAATCTGCGACCCATGTTTTTTGAGATGGTCAAGTTTCACAATTTTTTAAAACTTTCATATCAATCCTCAGAAGGAGTTTAAGCAACGATTCGATAGAGTAAACCTTATAGAATACAGTACTACTTTTTTCTCTTTTTCCTAGCTCGCCGTAATTTTTTAAAAGATTTTTTAAGAAAACCATCGGGTTTTGGCAGGCCTACGTCAGCCACAAATGCATCAAACAACGGTAATTATTCGGAATTTGAAACTTCCAAGATGGTATATGACTTAACATTGGTTTTACAATGCAAGTGAGAGTTTACGGATTCGAAATATCAAATTTCGGGTTTTTAGGGTACAACCTGGGGCTCGCTAAAAAATGAGACTTGATGATTTCTCCCCGGAAACTAAACGAATCGGAAACAAAAAACACCTGTTAGAAAGAGAAGAAAATGCTGCATCGAATACTGCGCGAGCTGCTCTTCTGTTGATGTTCTACGAGGATTTAGCTGCCCAACTATGGAAATCGGTAGCATCAGTTAAAATTCTGTCAAAAATGTATGACAAGCTTTGGAAAGGAGATAAAAGTACTGCTGTATTCTATAAGGTTTACTCTATCGAATTCTTACTTGAACTCCTTTTGAGGATTGATAAGAAAGTTTTAAAAAATTGTGAAACTTGACCATCTCAAAAAGCATGGGTCGCAGATTTTGGTTATTTTCTGAAAGCTCGTTGATTGTTTTGCAACAGTTTCATAACCATTAGAAAGAAAGTGAAATTCTGCATCGAATGCTTCAAAGATCTCTTAAAAATCTTTATTCCGTCAAATGTGGTGCCCATTTGAAAAAAGCGAAATTACTTTTAAAACGACCTAATACATAGCAATACCTCGAAAATTAGTTGTTCAAAAACATTTATTTGTGTTTCTTTAGAGTGTGAGCATTCCTTGAAATCAGTACACTCAATATCATGCTAGTCAAGTTGGATTTTGAAGCGAATTATGCACTAAAAGCCCCGTTACTTCACGTTTTTAACCTTTCATAACTTCTTCCAGATAACGTTGTCGCAGATATGGAAGGTAGTTTTGCAATCAGCTCATCAAGACGCATTTAATGATATGCGGTTCATTCCAATTCGCCACCTTAAGAGTTGGGATCGTTCCCTTGTTAGAAATACATCAATATCGTAGAATTATTTTAGCAGGTGCAGATACGACTTGTTTAGCCAATTACAAAACAGTCCTATTTTCTTGAAAAGAAAACAGTCAGAGGTTATGTCTGGAAATCAAGTTGAAATGAAAACATTATGTCTGGAAATCAAGTTGAAATGAAAACAAAGTCCTTTTAATCTTGAAGATTTTTCGCACGAAGCCCCTTTTACCCTATACCTAAACGTAATAAATCCTAAAACGAACGAAACGTCGAATAGAAGAACGTCGCATTTCTTGTGTCTTTTCAGTAACTAAAACGATATTCCCTTTGCTTCTTGTCAAAAAAGGGTATCCAGCTTGACCCTGTGTCAGCTGTGCCAAGCCTGTTCCTCGCTTATCTCCGTACTTGTCGCGTTGGTTACACCGCGACCAAAGCTGTTGAATGCATTGGGTACAACCTGAAGTTTATTTATTTCTACTTGACGGGATTTGCAGGTAGGCTCAAAATTTAGGCAACTTTTTTGACGCAGACTTCGATGCATTTCGTACATGGAAAAGGAGCATAAAACTGCTAATGCAGCTTCTGCAACTTTTTACATTACGGGCTTCAAATTTACCGAATGAGTGTGACATCAAAGAGGACATAAATTCTGTTTTTAGCGATATGAATAGCGTTGTATAAAAAAGTTTGTGCTGATATAGACTATCACATAAAAAAATATTTGTCATATCGTGAACGAATGCTTGCTAGAAGAAAGTCGTCTAAATATTTTTTTTCGTATTTGAAGAATAAAATGAAGCCCTCCCAACATTTCTCTACTTTGACAAATTCTTCTGGTACCTCTTATGTTAGCGATAAAGATAAGGCAGATGCTCTTGGTGCCTATTTTGCCAGCGTTTACTCTCCTGTCGCTATTAATGACAGTGATAGTGATGCTGACAGAATAAGCGCTGATGCAGTGCTGCCTCGCCATTTTTGCAATAATGTTCATTTTCATCCCGCAAATGTCTACCAGTTCCTTATCAAACTAAAACCTTCCATAACTGAAACATTTGATGGCATCCCTCAGATAGTATACCTAAAATGTGCCTCGTCGCTTGCGGCTCCGCTTGCACATATATTCAACATTTCGATGTTGTGGGGGGAGGTCCCTGACTTGTGGAAAGAAGCTTTGGTTACAGCAATTCCAAAAACTGACGGAGCATGTCGAATTGATAAGTTTCGTCCATTTAGCTTGCTTCCCACTCCTGTTAAGATCATGGAAAGAATCAGTGAAAAACTTTTAAAATGGCTAAAGGTTTCGGATTTGATCCCCGATGAACATCATGGCTTTTTGAATGGAGCTTCCAAAACAACAAATCTGGTTGATAGTGTGTTCGAGTGGAGCTTAGCAATCAACGAGTGCAAATCGGTTGACATTGTTTATGTTGATCTCTCGAAAGCGTTTGATAAGGTCTGTCATGCTAAATTACTAACTAAAATGAACAAATTAGGGATTAAAGGAAATCTTCTTTCGTGGTTGACTTCTTATTTGCATGATCGGTATATGACTGTGAGAGTTGGTCATCGTTACTCCAAAAAGTACTTCTGCACTAGTGGTGTTCCACAGGGT